AAAAAAAAAAGAGAGAAACAGAGAGGAAACAAAATTAAAGTAGCAACAGAAGACTGGTGATGATGAAATGTCTACCACAAATAGACAGTGAATGACAACGACATATGTTTCATAGTTGACCAAATTTAATATTCGTTTATTTTCATTATCGTTCTTTTTTCTCTTCTAGGTTACATAACGTAACAGCAATCGAGCGCATGCTTATCCAACTTGAGGAAACTGAACGAAGCTTTGATGCATTTTGGGCTCGACATGAAAAACGTTTGATGCAGTGCCTTCAACTGCGACGTTTTGAAGACAGCTTCCGAAAGGTAAACCTTCATATTTTATTTACATGTGTTTTTTTTCTTTGTTTTGCAGTAAAATTTTTGTTTACGCTTCAGTTTACACTTAGACAGCATCAAAACCTAACAGAGAGGTCTAGTTGCCTGAATCGTCTTCTTGAACTTTATTAATTTAATGTTTGGTCTTGTTCTGTCTGTTGTTTGGCGTTGTTATTCTAGGATATAAATTGTAGCTTGTTTTACCTTTATGACTGTTTATCTGTCAGCCAAAGCCAAAATATAAAATATGGCTTGCAGTGGCTTTTTTTTGCATTGATTAATTACTTGATATGGACGGAAAAAACTTGCTTTATCGTAATGTTAAAACTTGCTCATTAGATAGTGTTAAAGGAAATCGATGTGTAGTTTCTGATAAAAACCTCTGTTTATCCAACAGCAGCGGTTTAATTTTTTTTCTTTATTGTCGTCGTTTTGTTGATCACCGTTTGAGAGCTGAAAACGCAGAAAGTTCAAATGGCCGACATTAGTTTAATCACTGTTTGATTAGTTGGTGTATTTTTTTTATGTATTGCTGATGGGAGTTCATTCATTTCCCACCATTAATTTAGTTTTTATAGATCACTGTTAATTAAGTTTTATTTTCTGCTGGTTTTTTTTTTATATTTGCCGTTCTTTCTGCTCAAAAGTAAATTGATGTTTTAGAGTGTTTATACTCTTTCATCCCGGCAGCGGAGCAAAAAAAAGGCCATGCTTCTTTTTGAGATAAAATTTTGTTGTTTCTAAGATAAGTTGCAAAGTGAAGTAACATCAAAGATAATATTAACAGAAATTTTTGCAAAAAAAATTCCATATAAGTTGACATGCAAAGAAACCAAAACGATGATTTTGTTTTGTTTAATTTTTTTTTTGGTAGGAAAAGTTTTGAAGGACAAAAAAAGTTTCTTCTTTCTTATTGCCTACTCGCATATTATTGGAAATATACAGATTTTACTGAGAAGGTTGATGTAGGAAAAATTTCTTCGGTAATCACTTTAGACAGGCCACTTTTTTCCTGCTCTATCGTCATCATCATATCTTTATTATTCCGTTCAGTTGTCTTGGCCTCTCGATATATTTTGACGCCGTTTACAGACTTCATTAATGGACATCAAAATTTCCTTTTCAATCCTAAACTGAAAATCAATTTCCACTTCATGGATTACTTGGTTCAATTTTTCTTCTGAAATATTTCATTTCTTCTATTATTTTGCCATTATGTGTTGTTGTTACTGCTGCTGTTGTTGTTGTCACCGGATGTTGCAGCAATCGAAAACAACTGAAGCAGAAATTTCAATTATTGTTAACCAGGAAATAAGTTCAACAACAACAACTGCAGTTTTTGCAGTTGTAGGAGTGTTTTTTATCATAAAAGAGTAATGACAACAGTAAAATTGTTGACAGAAATGAACAATGGAACTATTTCTAAACTTAAAAAATGTCTTTCCTAGAAGTCATTCTTGTTGTTTGTTGTTGTACTTTAATGTTGAACTTTATGGAATCACTATATCAATGTGGGTTACTTGTAGTATGTTCTGTAGGGCATGTTTATTATAGAGCCGTTGATATACGGGTACATCAATTAAGTGCTGTATATTGTCGATGAAGTCTATCAAAAAGTTGACGCTGTTTACCAGTTTTAATGCTTTAAAAGATTTTTTTTGGAAGGAAATTGAGGAGAAAGAAATACGATATATGAAGTTAAAAGTGGTCGAAAAAAGTTATTATCGAACTTTGGGCTAGAAAATTTTGAGGAAGACATGAAAGATACATTTTTTTTCCTTGCTAACTTGAGAATTACTTGTAGCGTAGTATATTGAAATTT